GGAGGAAGGGAGGGGGAGGGGGAGGGGGAGGGGGAGAGAGACACACACAGACAGAGACAGAGACAGAGACACAGACATAGACAGACAGACAGAGCAAGCATTCCTGGTCTTGCACTTTAATTTGCTTGAATATGCACAAATCACTAACCTCTGCAAGCCCCAGCTTCTTTTGCTATAAAATTGGGAACAATGATGCCTACCTGTGAGTGTATGCAAAGCCTTTGGAGCTGGCTAACAACACTGATCAGTCACCGCGTCCCACAAGTGTCTCTGACCTTGTCCTCACATCCCCAATCCCTGCCCTGGGTCTGGCCTTTATCACTTTTTACAATAAGCTTCTACCAGCCCTACTGGCTAATAGGCACTCTGCCCTCCACATTAATGGCAGGAATTCTTTGATAATCTGATGTGTCCTTCCCATGTTTAAAAACATTTGTGTGACTCCCAATTAACTGTGCAGTAAAGCCAGTGGAGCTTTGGGGGCATTTGAACCTTGGGCAGCTAACCCTCCTCCTGCCCTAGTTGCACAAGCATGTATTCATACACAATCACAATATATACTCTCCATGCACATGTATACATAAGCACACACATGTTCCTGAATACACATATACACATCCACATTTGTGCATATATATCCCTTTAGTCACAAGGAGCAGCTCATCATGTACATACTGACGGGTCCCTCCCAGGCCCTCCTTTCAGGATTTTCTTCCTGCAAGTTCTCCCTGGCCTAGAAGAAGGAAACTTTTTTTCCTTTGTATCCTAAGAGACTGCCATCATGGCTCAGCCCATGGCTCCATGCATGGCTCCATGCAGTGCTCCAGTCACGGCAATGAGCTGCTCTGTACCAAAGGAGACCACTTCAGCGGACCTTGGCTGCGCGAGACTCAACAGTGATCCACTTCCACTTTCTCAGTGTCCTTACAGGCAGGAGACACAGTGTGGCTGAGATGCTCCACTGGCTTTAGGACCACGGTTACCTGTCACGTTGCACAGGAGAATTGCTGGGGAACTCCTAAAGCTCCGCACGTGCAGCCTGCATCCTGCCCCACACCCTGCAGACAAGCAGCAGCAAGGCCTCTGCAAGCTCCCCAGGCGGTGCCAGTGTGCAGGACGGTGCCAGCAGCTCTGCTTTAGGCAGAGAGCATCAGCCCGAAACAGCCCCAGCTCTAGCCTGCAGAATATGTTAAGAGAGGGCAGGTGCTTTAGACAGCCACTATCACCATTTCTTCGTAATCAGGTGGCGGAAGGAGCCATTCATGAGTAAATGCTCCCAGGATGGACTAGGTTTCTAGGGGCTTTTCTTCCAGCTGGAAAATAATCTTTGTGAAAAGTTAGGTTCCAACCTACTTTTTCTTAGTGAGAGATCTCCTGATCGCTGACTGAGCCACATTCCAGGAGAGTGGGACCTGTGTGTCCCTTGGAGATGAGTTGGCCCTTAGGGTCACACCTGCACAGGGATCGGTAGCTCAGCCTGGCAATCCGTCTCAGGGCTCAGTTCACATAGAGGCTCTGGATCTAACTGGGGAGCCCAAGATCCCCACAGCCTGGAACTCTGCCCAGCCCAAGGCAAGCCTGTGGGAAGCTGCGTCCTCAAGGCCGGCACTGTCCAGTCTGCCATGGCCGGCACCTCCCAAATCTCCCAGGGATCTGGGATACTCAGAAGAGAAGATACCCCAGGCCCCAGGCCCCAGAGGCAGAGCTTGGGCTCCTTGCTCAGTCAGATGAGGTGCACTGAATTCTCTCAACCTCATTTCCAAACATTTACATGATTTGAGTGACTTAATTACCCAAAAAAGAACTTACCTTGTCAACGTGATTAGCGATCTCTATTAATCGCTGCTTAACTTTTTCCAGATCTTTTCCTTGCCTCTGAAACTGAAAAATTTTAAGTGTCAGCATTAATAACAGCAAGAATATCAATCACATCTCATCCTTCCAGCTCATGGCAATGTGAAGTCTTGGGCTTTTGCAAGCCACCCAGGCCTTGCATGTTTTAGGGTGCACCAAGCTCCCATCCAGAGTCATTTCCCCAGTTGGGGACTCCCTGAAACTCCCTGAAATTCACCCACGCCAAGTGCTCTTAAGACAATAACTTGTGCAATATTTCCAGCCTCATAAATAATAGAACCAATGACACATCTTGGCAAAGATAAAACAGACAAAGAGAAGGCAGTCCAAAGCCATTTTTCATATCATCAACTTGATTTTAACTTCCTGAGAAACTTTCTTTGTATTTGTTTGGAAAAAATTGAATAGTAAAAGCAATAGAAGCTCATGGCATTGTGTCAAACAATACATAGGAGAATGGATAAAAAGTTAATAAATTCCCCATTCTCTTCTCTAATCTGACCTTCCAGAAGGGGAATACTTTTCTGAGAAATTGTCAAGCTTTCTCCATTCATGTGTGTTGAATGAGTCTATGAGAAAGTGTTACCTGATTCATACTGTTAGGAAACAATATATAAATAGAGAGAAATAATTTATGGGAAAATTAATTTAAAATTAATTAAAAGGAAAAACTAATGTATTACTAAGCCAAACCTTAAGATGGTAGGATTTTTCTGCCCTGTCTCTATTGCCTTCGTTTGTTTAGTTGTTCTGGTTTAGGACATATCAGACACTTAAAAAAAAACTTGACTTCCCAAAAATGTTTTACAGTACAATATAAAGGCATCTATCATTTCTTTCTAATAATTTCCCTTGTTTGGGGAGCTTAGCTAAAGAGAAACTCTGTTCTTTTTCTGCAGGCTTTGCTTTTATTTTATAACATCAGATATAATTTTAATATTGCATTCTTTTAAAACCAGAAAACCACTTTTCAATGAGTTGTTTTGAGTACTTTCAAGAATGTGTAGAGAATAAAGTTAAAGAAAGTAATAACTTATTGAATCTTATTTAGGGGAGTCAGGCTGTACTGAAAAATTTTTAAAAGTTCTTACCTCTCGGTTATCTGCAACAATAACCAGCTCTACATACTTGGTCATCTTGAGGGTCTCTCTTTTATGCTGCCAAGAGTAAATGTAAATTTAATTTCCCTCAGTGCAAGTCTGAGGCCTCCAGAACACCCTCAATAGCCCTTAACCCCAACCTTGGAAGGTAAGACTCTATCTTTTCCAGCTTCTTTTATCCCATTCCATCTAGAAGTTAACCCCCAGCCCCAACCATCTTTTTGTCAAGTCTTTCCAGCATGAATGATTTGTTTTCATTTCTGTGTGAGAAATCACAAAAAGGAACTGAACCTTCCTGCTGAATCATTGATTGTAGATCACAAAATGTCAAGATCATTATTGAACACCATGAGCATATTAATAAACAAAGACCAAAGTCTCTCTTTAGAAGGGGAGCCAGCCTTTGTGGTCCCTTCAGACCACATGGAGCACATGTGAGGACCACAAAAGACAGGGGCTTCAGTGCTGTGGCGGTTCTTATCATCCACATGTACCTGTTTTGGAATTTGAGAAAAGTGGCAGAAAATATACTTTGGGCAGAAATTGCACAACCCTGAGGGAACAGTGAGAAGTCTATTCCAGGGAGCTTAGACTTGTGGCTGATCATTTAAAAATCTAATTTGGGCTGGGGAAAGAGCTTAGTGGTCAAAGCACCTGCCTGGCAAGCACAAGTACCATGATCAATCCTTGGTACCAAATAAAAAAATAAACAAATGATTTTAAAAATCTAGTTAGCAGTGATAGAAGATTGGCATGTTCTGGAGAAAAGGGAACAGCCAGGGTGATGCACAGAGAGGCAAGTACTAGGAGAAAAATGTAGAAAGTAAAGAGAAAGGCAAAAGAAAGCAATAGTAAAAATAAGACAGGATATGGAGATTGGGGATTTGGTAAGAATAAAGTGGGTGAGAAGAGTATGGAAACTGTATACCAAGGTTCAGGGATGGGGGCGATTCAGCAGCAGGAATACGGATCCCAAATAAGGAGGCCCCAGAAGTGGGTTATGTTTTAATCAAGCTTCCTCCAAAGCATTCACACCCTTCCATGAATTACGGGGGAGAATCCCAGAGGCATTTTGAGGAGAAATGAAGCAATTCATAGAGGGTGGTCTCAAAAAGTGAACATTAAAAACAAAACCCAAAGCCTTCTGTTTCTGCAATAACATGCGGTTGGAAGAAGTGGGGGTCAGGCTGTGTCTGGTCCCCCCGACCGAGATTGCCAGTTTATGAGCTGAGTACATACTGTGCGTCCGCTGAACGCTTGCGTGTTTTAATCGCTCTTTCAGACAAAAAGAAAAAGGAGGAAAGCATGCTTTGAATCAGACTTCCAGTCTCATAATCCTGAGGGAAACATCTTTTATGAAACAAATCCCCATCAGTCCAGGATCTTCCAAACAGATTTTTACAAGAAAAATGTTTGTATTATAGCGGTGTTCCTGCATGCCGCCCAGCTGTGCTGATTCATGAATTTAGGTGTCCCTGAAGAAATCTGGAAACCTCATGGAGGAAGGGAAAATAAAACACCACGGAAGGTATAATTTCTCATACTTTTACTGTGTTGCAAAGAAGAAAGCGTCAGGCTTTGTAGTTGTATGGACAGGCAGGTTTGATGGTGATAACTATGTAAGTATAAAGGAAAACGCTTAAGGCCCCATAGCGTTCAAGGACGCAAATCAAATGAGACACTTTTTGGAAGCGCGAGGATCTTGCCCTTTTTCCTTACTGAGGGTCAGAGAGACAGAAATCTCTCTTATCCACTTTGCCCTGATTAAGGAGGAACAAATCAGCAAAGTAGGCAGACGACAATGTAGCTCAGGAAATGAAAAAAGAAATTAACCTTGCATCAAAAACACACACACACAAATAACCCCCCCAAAATTAAAAAAAAAAAAACCAACCCATTGAAAGGGCTTCAGTTGTTTAGACATTTATGCTTTTCGGACAGCAGAGGGTGAAGTCAGCCACCAGAGGACATTTCCAACTGGCCTCAGATCATCATTTAGAAAATACACAATTCCAGATAATGAAAACAAACACATGAACACAATTTTCCTGTCTCTGCACTTTTCAGAGAAGTCCACATTTTCTCATGAATTCAGAGAATTGCAAGCTCAGAGAGAAGCTTAACCACATCATAATAAAAAGCCACGGGGGAGTGGCCGGCTCTGCGCCACGAAGGTTTGCTCTCACTTACAGAGGCTTGAATTACCTCCACATGATTTCCACTGATCTAGGCTGTCCAGTAGAAAACACAAAAAGGAACCAGACTTTAAATCTGTGATATGGAGACCAGCACTTGAAACCAGTGCTTGACTGAATTTTCATTTTGGAAGCTATGAACAGGAACCCAAGTTTTGGGAATGCCCCAACAATCCCCACTCCAAGGTGAGGACAGGAACAATCCTGAGTTTTGCTTGAAAGAGAAGCAGTTCTCAAAGTCATTGCAGCCAAGTTCCCAGAGACAGACCATCCCCCAAACATCCTGTAAGGAGCTCTGGCCCTGAGAACTGAACTCAGTTCCGACAGAAAAGCAAGCTTGGGTGAGGGTTGCACTGAGTCCCCACTGTGCTCTCTTATTCATACAGTCAAACTCTGTGCATTGTTTCATCTCTCAGGTCTACAGGGAGCTTGCTGTTCACCATGTGCTGGGGACATGAGGATGCGGAAGACCAAGGTTCCTGCCTCCACAGAGCTCACATCACTGCGGTGTGGGACCAGAGGAAGGATTCTCAAGGTTAACACAGGCTGTGAAACACAGGGAATAAACAGAGCTTTGCAGTGAGGCTAAAAATGGGGCAGGTGCTAAGTTAGCTGAGACCCAGAAGGTGAGAAGCAAGTGTATGTGGGAAGGGTTCTAGGAGCTGTGCTTCAGCTGGGCGGGGCAGCATCAGCAGAGGGGCAGAGGTGGAGGAGAGGAGCATTGGTGGTGCTGTGGCCCCAGCAGGACGGCTGGAGGCTTGGGAGTAAGCGGAGTGGGGATGGAGGCTAGGACAAGGAGGCTGACTGGTGATCTCATAATTGAAGAGCAGTGGGAGCTCTAGAATGATGGGAGACTTAAAAACATCACTGTGGTGGTGGCTGGGAGGGGTATGTGGGGGCAGGGAGGACGGAGAGGAAGCTGTGCAACATTATGGGGGTGGAGGAGTAGGGAGCTAAGGATGGTCTGTAGCACAAGCTACAGCTTCCAGATCGTGGAGCTGTGCGAGTTCATTCAGTCTTGGTGTGATATAACCACACAAGATAACCATAGTGATGGCCCAGGCCCATCTTTCTGTATCTAGTAAGATCAGCAAGTGAGACGAGACAAAAGTTTGGTTTCTCATGCTGAACAAGGAAATGCCACTATCAGCTCATCTATGTAGGCCACTGCAAGGTCACTTCAGGCTTATGAATAAGCAGAGCCCTCAACTCTGTCAGAGGGCATCACTACCATGTGACAGTGGGGATAACGGGCACTGACCATATGCATGTGCCTCGGAGGCCTGGCTAAAGCATTGGCTGGTGGAACCAGCAAGTGAATGAGAACGTGCCAGGAGGGCGGGCTGAGTCTGATGGGCAAATATCAGGGACCAGAGGGAAGTGGTGACATTGGGCCCAAATGAACAACGGCCTGAGTGCAAGCTGTTATTTATTTATCCACAGTTTTAGTGGATTTGAGATTCAGGAGGAACCCTGTCCTGGAAACATGCAGCCAAGGCTCATATTCACAGATATTAGAGCCCAGGAAGTGGTACTGTGTCCCTGTCTCCCTCTGTACACTTCAAGAATAGCTGAGGGATACAGCCTCTGAAAGAGTTGCTCCTCCTGTAATAATAGCAAGACCTGGTGGGAACTATGTACTGGGAACTGAATTGCGTGAAATACATGATTTCATATCTGCATCGTCTGTCTTGGAATGGTCCAGTTTAATGAAATGTATTTATTAGGAAATTAAAGATTGCCTAGGTTAATCATTTCCACATAAGTTAAAACTGAAATCAGCTGGAGTCTAACACCCCTGACTCTTTGTGTCATCCAATACAGACTTTCTCAGCTACAGAGACAGTTTAGCTAGGAAGGATTTTTGAATTTTTCCTCAAATGTCTTATCTATCCACAGTTTCCAAATGTGTTGTTTCTCATTTCACAGAGACAAGATATTTTAAAAATGAACAAAAACTTTACATATAAAAAAAAAAAGAATAGCTGAGGGAAAAAGCAATCGATACAGTGTTAGAGGAAGTATGGAGTTGGGGATGGTTATGTTAGAGAGGAATTAAACACTGCTGATAAAGGGCCTGCCAGATAGCTCAGTGGACTAAAGCACCATGCTGGCCCTGCCCCCGGGGTATGGTGAGACAGCGACTGAGACAGGGCATGGTGGTGAGCGCCTGCAATCCCAGTGCTTGGGAAGCGGAAAACAGGAGGATCACTACGAGTCCAATCTATGTAGCAAGATCCCATGCACTCTGTACCAAATACATTTAAAAAAATTACTGATAGAATTAATGAGCTTTCCGGTGATTCTGGCAAGTTCTGGAGACACAACTACTTCCCGTGCACTGCAAGATGTTACCATTATGGCTCATACTGCTACCATGCCGTGGCTCCCACTAACTGGATTCCGTACTGTCTGGAGACACAAAAGCGGTGGTACCAGTCATCCCAGCGCCGCTGCATCTGAGGACATACAGCAGCATTGCCCTTTCTCACTGTCCGAAATGCAGCCAGCAGTCCACGCAAACACCTCTTCCCAGAGCAGGCAGCAATTTTTATATTTGACTCATAATTATCCATACTAATGGAGGGGAACAATGCTAGAGATAATCCCTAAAGAAAGGATAATTCAACAGTAATTTCCATTCACCTTTGGGATGTATTATGTGATTTTCTCCAGTAGCAGATTTAGCCTCTGCCTCCCTTATCGCTTGCCAAAGTGGATGCTGAAATTAGTTTTCATTCTTGAATGCCAAGCCAATGGACACAGAAGGAGTCCACGCAGGTGAGCCGAGTGGTAAGAGCACTTAAGGTTGGACTTAAACACCTGCAGAGGGGACAGGAGGCTACAATGCGTCTGTCTCTCTGTACCCTTCCAGAAGCAACTAGAGAGTGCTCACTAACATCTGACGTAGAGCCTTATAAAAATGACAAACAATAGCCCAGAATTCTATTATAGCTGGTGTCTCCTCTGAGTACTGATTGATTCCTGATGATCTATGAAGAAAAGAGCAAACTTCTGCAGAAAAACCAGAGTCTGCAAACCAATCTTTTGTAATAGTTAACATGTAGTGGGGGCAGGGAAGTGCTGCTGAAAGGCAAGCGTAGTTGCTGTGCTGCATAAACAAGATTAATTAGCTGCAGTTACATTGATTTTTTTAGCATAAAATAAAAGCAGCACGAGTAGGTAGGTGGCATATAACTTGGATGTGTGCTTTCATATTTATTATAGGTGTTATCTGAAATAATCAAGGTGATTTCCATTCCCAAATATTCCATTCATTTGAAAATTATTTTTGTGCCATTTTCATTATATATAAGGAGTTTAGGTCAAGGACATTTTTTCTTGCATAAAAACAATCACAACTATTTCTAGAGCAAAAGAACCAAGGTGAACAGCATCACTGCCTTCACTGGCTTTTCAATTTAAAGGTTCATTTACACTTCAGTATGCATTATTAACAAAACGGCATCATTATTCAGGTTCTCCTCATATCTATACAAGGCAGAATGACTGGAAATTATGGTGCCAATCATTATTCTGGAGAGCTATATGCTTAAAGAATTAAAATATGGTTGGCAAGTACAGATCAAGTTTGTACTTCTAAATGAAATGGCAAACATATTTGAGTGTCATTTAAGCTGTCAAGTTATAAATCACCTAACATCAATAACAGGCATTCAACAAGGTACTCAAAGCAAAGGGCCTGAAAACAAAATGCAAATGTTCTACTTGTTCATGACTGGTAAAACTACAGCTTAATCACATCTCGTCCAAGGTCTGGAATCAAAGACAAACGTGTTTGAAGAGTGAAATAAGCACGCATGGAATCTCAGAGGTGATTCCAACTCTTAAATCTGTCACTCAAGAGGGGAAGGGGGAGAAATGCAGGAGGGAACTGCCTGGCGGATGCTGCTGAACTTGGCTGAGCTGAGCATTTGCAAATTCTGGCCTCTGGTATTCAGCTGCCCCTAACACACACTCACACACACACACACACACACACACACACCCCATACCACACACTACCCAATGTGAAGGTGAGTCGTAGCTGATGGGGAGCTCTTCCATCATACAATGATGTGAAAGAAAGAAGAAAGAAAAAGAAAAAAAAACAAAAGATTTTAGGTTCCTGCCATAGAAAACTTGGGAAGCCAGTAATAGAGGTTAGGGCCACACAGGCAGAAACCTGTTCTGAAAGAATGAATGCAAATTAAAGTCAATCATCCTGACCTTTTTCAGTGGAGAGCAGTTTAGGGGAACAGGCACTTATCCATAGGTATGAAGAGAATTTTAGGAATGAGAAGAAATCATGTAGGATAAGCCTTACAATTTGAATTTATGAAAAGGATTTAGAATGAACCAAGAATAATATTCATGAAATGTTGAATGTTAAGCCACAGTCTATATAAAGCAGTGAAAAGAGACAAAGAGATTAGAAACATGTCCCCTGATGGTCAGATGTTAGAATAAATGCCATTAGATCTTTGATTTTTAAAAATTTCTTGTCAATTGAAGAACATGAAATTCATACATCAAAATACTAGGCAACAGGTGATAATTTCCAATCTGGTCACACTCATTTAAATTCATGGACTTCAATCTAATGAGGGGAGGGGTACTTTTTTCCGCTGTGGCCTGTGCAGCCCGCATCATGCAGATGTCACAGGACAGGCAGCCACTGGGGCAGTGGATTCACGCTGGTCCACAGGAAGAGGCAGGGAGGGGACTCTGTCTGCAGCAAGGTCTGCATTGATAACCACTCATTCCAGTGCTGCAGCAGCAGGAGACCTCCTGTGAGTGGAGCCGGGGCAGGCGGCCAGAAAACACAGACTGCTAGTCTCAGGAGGAGCAAGGACAGGCCTTTCAGTGTGGCCTGCAGGTAAGCAACGCTCCTTAGCAAAACCACAGAGATAAGGGCTCGTGCGTCTAGGCACAGGCGGGTGGGCAAAGACGGAGCCTTTTCTGTAACCTATGATGAGAACCCAGGTGTAGAGCAGACTGCAAATGAGAAACATCCATCTGACCTTCCTCTTCTGCTAGAAGGGCAGCCAGAGAGTGGGTCATGGCCCATGTTTGCCATTTGCCATGGTGTTCCTGGATCCTGGGTCTAGACCCATCACCTGTGCCATCCCAAGATGTCATGAGTGGTGACTTTGTCATCCCTGACCCTGATGATGTGTATTTAGCAGACCATTTCAGTGAATCTGAGACTGACATTTGCAATAGTGATGCAGATTTCAGTCTATGATTATGGTCTTCCCCATCCTGTTCACCACCTTCTGATGAATGTGGATTTGCAGGTCCGACAGAATATCCAGCGGCAAAATTTGTCCGGATCTCCTTGCACTGGTGCACACAGTTTAAGCTTCCAATTCCCCCAAAATGTGAATTGGGGCTTGCTTCTTACCCTTCTTGTCCTTGTCTGAGAGGCAGCTGGGAATGAGTCATATGCAGTCTGGCCCGATGTGTTTTGATGTGAACCACATGACCCCCAGATTCTTGTCAGGTTCTTTGCTGGAAAGAGTTTGTATTTATCAGTGGCATTCTTCATTGGTTCTAGGATATAGGTTTCATCTTCAAACATAATAAGTCCCCTGTTGAAGAAGAAATAAGAGGAAACATTAAGTTTTAAGAATTAATCTTTAAGTCTAAGATATCATTCTTTTTTTTTTTTTTATTGTGGTACTGGGGATTGAACTCAGGACCCTGTGCTTGCCAGGCAAGCACTTTTTCTACTGAGCTATCTCCCCAGACCTGATATCATTCTTAATGTGGGAGGGAAAAAAGGAACAATAACAGTTTATTTATAGTCTCAGGTTTTAAAAATTTATTTTTTAAAAAAAATCTTTAAAATTAATCAATCAATCAATCAATCAATCAATCTCTCTATCAATCAATCTATCTGGTACAGGGTCTTACTACATAGGTCAGTTTTATAGTCATCTTCCTGTCTCAGCCTCCTGAATGCTGGAATTACAGGCATGCACCACCATGCCCAGTTTCAGTGGCCAGCACTACATGCCTAGGGTTCCAGGGCAGGCATGACACGTGGTACTGGGGATCGAATTAGGGTACTTGCGCTTGCCAGGCAGGCACTTAGACCACTAAGCTATCTCCCCAGTCCCTATTCTCAGGTTTTAATCAGAAAGGTTTTAGTCAGAAAGTTGGTGCGAACACATTCTGAGCCATGTGTTCTCACCCACTTAATTTTGCAAATGTTTAAAAAAAACCTGAAGAATTTTTTTGTTTGAAATATTTAATGGTAAAGAATAGATTGCATTTTGTCTTATGTGCTGTTTGTAATGTCCCAAAGATATATTGCCAGGATGAGGAAGAGTCCAGAGAAATGATGTTTCATCTGCCAATGTGTATATTTAAATTAGCAGACACGATTCAGAAATCTTTACTTTTTTCTTTCTTAAGTGCAACCCTACATCTAAATCATTATCAGACATATTTCCTGAATATTTGAAGGAACTCAGATATAAAAATGCATGTAAATGTATGTATGTATGTATGTATGTATGTATGTATGTATGTATCTATCTATCTATCTATCTATCTATCTATCTATCTATCTATCTATCTTTTAATGTATTTAGTACAGGGTCTCACTACATAGCTTGGACTCATGATGATCCTCTTGTTTTCAGCCTCTCCAATGCTGGAATTATAGGTGTGTGCCACTATGCCAGGTCTCGGTGTGCCTGGGGGTGGGGCCAACAAGGCATGTGGTATCAGAGACCAAACCCCATTCCCTGAGCTTGCCTAAGCAGGCACTTAGTCCACTGGGATATATATTCTTATTTAATTTGTAAGAGGTAAGCAAATAAAGGAACCAGGGTAAGTACCCAAAGCATTCAAACTGTTTGTGGCAGGCTAAGGTCAGGCCTCTGGATTCAGTGGATAGCTCTTCACAGAGTCAGGGCACACCGAGAGGAGATACCCCAGCCCCTGGCTGAGAAGGCAGCTTTTGGAGTCTGCGGGCTCCAAGTGTGAGTTTCACCCCTGCTAGTTATTATCTCCGTGTCCTTGACTAGCACCTTAATCGCACTCAACGCTGGTAGCTGGAAGTAGCTACTTCCCAGTGTTTCTACACCATCTGGTGAGAACTTCTAGCCAGCAGAGAGCCCAGCTAGTGGCTGAATGGTGGTACTTCTTATTATCAATAGGGCAGATCCATGGCTTTGGCTGCAGATCATGTCTTATTCCAAAGACTAACAATCTTAGGGTAGTCCTACACTAAGATAAACATACTGCTTTTTGGGAATGACAACAACTAAGAAAAAAAAAAGTCCTTTGAGCCAACATTTAGAAACAAAAGTGTAAGGTCTTTTAAAACATGACAAACTAACTAAACATTCTAAGTGGTGGGGATAAGGTAGCATTAGCCATGGATCACAGCACCTCACTGCCCTGTGGAGCTCCAAGTTCAGACTGTGCCGTTAGATGTTAGTCTAAGGGTATCGGCACCCTTCAAGGGATAGGGAACTTTGGCTGGAATTCAGCTTTTCTTTCTTTCTTGTCCAAAATGGAGAAGCAAAGGGCTTTAACTTTGGTACCTCCAGATGCTGAAGCACAGGTTTTCTTGAGGGAAATGGAGGTTTGAGTAATAATCCACAGCAGCTGTATGAATCCCGTACATCTGTATGATCACAATCTCTGTACTTTAGAGACACACAATATTTTCGTACAAAAATCATCTGGCTATTAATAGATATTCCTAGCATAGTGGTTCAAACTTTGACACATGAGCCCATAGGCTTTAAGTTGAGGCCATTAGTTCTAACATGTAATTTATATTATGTCGACCTAAGAGTTTGAGGACACCTTTGTCTTTGAGAAGCAGCTGGTGATGTTACACTCTCCACTGGCTTCCCCCAGTCAATCTGAGCTTGTTCTCTAGGTCTTTTAGTACTGCTTATCTGTTTTCTTCAGTCACTCACTCAGCCCTGCTTATTGATGGCCCATGGGTAGGTGACTATGCAACCATCTTTAAAGTTTTAATAAAATGGCACCATTTCCATATTCAAATGGTATGGAAGGAAGAGGTCTGAACTGGTTGTTTTTGAGCAGAGCTGGTGAATAAACACACACCCATCAACACATTACCATTTACCAGTTTCATCTGCCAGTCCTGGTCTGGGAGATGTCATAGGTAGTGGGAGAGACAGAAAGTTCATGTCTGGGATGCTTTTACCCTGACTAAAAGGACAACGTGAAGAGAGGGGCCATCAGAAATCACTGAAGAGTAAAGTTGTGCTGCCAAAAGAAGCAGAACATTTAACCATTCAGAGGTGCTGAGCAGAAGTGGTTTGGAGTAATTGAAGAATTTCTGGTTATTTTCAAATCCTACAGCTCACCTAAAAGTCATTGTGTACAGCTGTTCTGTCCCCACTCCCACCACAGACTAGCATCTATGATCATCACCAAGTTTGTCATTCAGATGTGACTTTGGTTATCAACTCTGTGGGGTGGAATCAGTTTGTCTTTATGAAATAGAATGGACACTTCTAAGTTTAGAATGCATAACGGGGGCCTTTATTCATTCATGTTTAAGAAATCTAACTTAAGTAGAACACTTTAAAAAATAGTCCAAGGGAAAATGGGAATGACAAGTGAAGGGGAACTACAGATGTGCTAGAAAACAGGATTTTCTATCCTTAAAAGAAAATGGCACTGCTATGGCTTGTGCCTAGCCATAACATATAACACTCAATGGCTCTCCCAATGTCACTGGTGGTACTTTTTCAGAGGTGGCTTAATCTAGAGTATGTGAAACGGTAGGAATAAGGATGGGTAATTGCTAAAGCAGTGCACTGATTGGTTGGGCACTGCTCTAATCCTGGCAGCTTCTTGCCTCCCTTGCTTGGTTGTCTTCTGCCCACCATGAACTGTTTCTCCTCAGTGATGCCTGTCCACCAGGCCACCCTGCCTTGGAGCCAGGTGATTATGGACTGAATTCTCTATACAATGTGACTTAAAAAAATCTTCACTCCTGTAACTTTGAGTGTTGGGTATTTTGTCTCAACAAGGAGAAGAGTAACTAAGGCAGGCACCCACATTTCATTTTGAATTGTAGCATTTTATATTTTCCATTTACTTAAGTAAGCAGAAGACTTACAGTAAAATATGTCACCATGTTCTAATCATGAGAAGTAAATTATGAAAAAGTTTTTCTATTTAGTGGAAAATTTCTAGAAGTTATAGCTTGGTTATAAAAATGTTTTCATGTCTTCTTTTATCTTTTAAGTTATCCAAAGGCCAGATGTTGAGAAATTGGGGTGAAAGCCTTTTCTTTGCTCCACACAATTGGCAACTTTTAATACAGCATAATTAAATAATTGCTTTGGACTATCTTGGGTATAATTAATCATTTAACACTAAAGATTGCTGGAAATAACCTTGGCTACAAAATTCAAGCACTCAAGGTTTCTGAGATGTAAAAGTTCGATGTTCTCATAGCCCTCTATGGTCCCAAGTTAGATAAGAGAGTACAATCTGTTTTAAGTTGAATGTCACAGATACTTAGTTGTAAACTTGGATTTGGAAAAGTCTCAAAGTAAAGGATTTAAGTCCAGCAGACTTTGAACATGGAATCCTGGAATTTTTTTCCCACTTGGTGAAGTAGGAAAAGATCAGAGGAGAATTTCCAGTGTATGGGAAAGTTGCAGAATGTGTGTGCCTTCTTTGGAAGCATCGTAGAATGTGGGCACTTGACCACGTGGTGGATGGAGATACAACCAAGTTCTGCAGCAGGAGAAGTAGAACACTCTGGGCGATAAGGGCCACCCCTTATCTTGGCTGTATTGCTTGGGATCTTGGCTCAGCCATGTATTTGTTATACCCAATACCTAGTTGATTCTCATGCAGCTACACACCTGACCTTTATCCCCACTGCTCCATGTGCCCAGGTGATCTAAGATAGTGGTGTGGGTCAAGTTAGAACCTGTGTGTCCTAAGCTTGAGTTAGTCAGCACCATAGTTTTCTACTTCCCCCAGCATTGCTTGGAAAGGGAAGAAGCAAAAGCAGAGAACACAGGAGCTAATGGAATGAGTGGCTGCCATGAAAATCAACAGCCTTCCTTTAAAATTGAAAGCCCTGTTGTTGTTGTTGTTGTTGTTTTTCCTTGAACGGAAATGAAGAGGAATCTATTAAAATTTTAAATTGATTTTGTTAGCTTTCATAGCAAAAACTCAAGAGATCTACATTCCCTCAAGATAAAATTTTTTAGTTCTTCTAAAACTTCAATTTTTAATCTTTGAAGCAATGGTGCATTGGGCAATAACACGGCTTAATGTTGTTGTTCTTATGATGATTTTCTTCCTACTCCCAGGCAAGCAGGATGGTGGTACGAGGATTTTGACTACCCGTTATAAGATAGTGATTAGAAAATACAAATTATCTTGGCTAGTTCAGTGTTAAACTGCTAATTGAATTTTCTGGAAAAGGACTTTCGGCCTCAATAGCATACTGTCAATCACAAGTTAGAAAGGCAGTTGGCATGAAATTTAATTTCAGTCCTTTTTTTTTCAGAGGAGCTCATAGGTAAAAGTAATATCCCACCTTCTGTATGTTTGATAAACAGTGATG